AACGTTAACAGAAAATTGTCTCCTGTATTTCCAAAACGGATGTTAGCACGTAGAAATGTAACTTGACTTATTAATTAATGTTTTCCTTTTACTTTCAATGGTGCTATTTTTTTCTCTTTATTAAAAAAAAAAAACGCTATTATCTAAGAATGTAACATGTTAATGCAATCAGAATTTAAAAGAAAACAGCTTTCAGTCAGAAAACAAAATGTAAATTTTATTAGCGTAAAACTTAGATTCCTTATTCTTTCAATACACAGATATTCATAACAAACACAATTTTATTTAAAAAATTCTAATTTTGGACAAAATGCTAATGTACAAGATTTTATACTGCATCAAAGTTCTTTTATCACTTATAAATGAGTTTATTATCTTTCTTAAGTGCAAATTATTTTCTTACACCTCAGAAATGTTTTAGCTATAGCATCAGATTCACTCTTAGAATCCACGATGCCTTTAGCGTAGGTAGAACAATAATAATGAAAAACTTCATAAGATTGTTGTACACAATTACATAAATGGCAGTCTGGAAATGTTTCTTTGAAATAATGGAATTTTTGGCATTTAATGTAGCCAATATGATCTATACTTTGATAAATGTGTTACAGGTTTAAAGAGGTTTGATTGATTTTAAAATTGGCATCTGAATTTCCAACATTTCCATTTGATAGGTAATGAATAAAATATAACACGATACTTCCAAATGCATAAGAAAACGTAAGAAAAAGTATACAGTATTTATGTATACAGTATTATGTATCGCATGTATCGTGAAAATTTCCTTACACATCAAATGGAAATGTTGGAAGTTCAGATGACTACGGCAGAACCAATTAAATTCTAAAGAAAATATCTAAGCACATACCTCTTTTCTGTGACGTAGAAGCTACCCTACTTACCCGATAAGGCTCCCTGTCCCCATTTTCAGATAAGCCTCCCTCCCACGGCTGACCATTCCTTCTCGGGAGCTCCTTCAACTCCCGCTCCCTGAGCTCCTGAACTGGAAATCTCAATTGCCTCTACTTTCATAATCTCTCAAACACTTTATGTTTAATTTTCTGAGTAATTTAAAACTGAGTAATAGTCAAGGAACCTTAGTGGCTTAGAGAAAATCAAGAGGGAAGCGATAAGATCATAGTCAAAACGTTAATTTATACGTAAATGTTTAATTTGAGAAGGACTGAAATTTTGGGCAGAAATGATTTTAAAAAGTGTGTAAAAATTCCCTGAGGACCATTTCAGACAGCTGATTGGATAGATTTTGCGATATATTCTTCCATTTTGACAATACGTGCAACCACGGCCTTGAGCATCCAACAGTTTCGAATAAAAACCAATAATAATCCTAAATTACGTCGCCTATTCAATTATACGCAAAAATACACTCACTTCCAAAAGTTAAGCACGGAGAGGAAAATGTTAATTTCCGGAAGCCAACAAGAATTGAAGAGGATGCAATTCGTTGCAGAGGTAGATGGAATTTTGCAAATATGTTAGGTAACAGCCAATCGCGGTTTCATGTCAAGAAATATGCAAAAAAAAAAAAAAAAAAAAAAAAAAAAAAAAAAAAAAAAGGCAGTCTTATAAGAAGTCAGCTTTATGAATGGTTACAGAAGTTGATTGTAAGTGCTGATGGAAGGTGTTTAAAACTTTCGTACAGTTTGTTTCAGACTACGTTTTCTATGACTTCCAGAAGACGAATGGAAGATTCTGAGCGCTGGCGTGCTGTGAAGCAGGACAGTCGATCACAGATGTTGCTCTTTTCTTCGGCGTTCGTCATTCTGTAATTTCACATTTATGGAAACAATTCCAAACCACACAGACAGTTGTCCGAAGGCCCGTAGCCGGTAGGCCAAGGGTTACAAACCCCTAGAAGATCGATATATTGCTATTGTAGCCAAGCGGAATCGCACAGCGACCTCCACACGTGTGACATCTATGGTTACAGCGTCAATTGGTAAGGTGATATCTGCAGCTACTGTAAGCCGAATATTACATATGAGTGGACTGTACGCCCGGGTACCTCGAATTTGTGTTCTTCTATTCGTCCAATCAAGAGGGGCACGATTACAGGGGTGGCGGGAACATATCAATTGGAATGTGTCTGACTGGGGCAATGTCGTGTTTACTGATGAGTCAAAATTTGCTCTGGAGCCAGATGACAAGCGTATAAGGATATGGCGTGAACAACGAACACGCAATTAGTCTCAAAACATCACCGAACATCACGCATTACAAGGTGGAAGTATTATGGTGTGGGCAGGGATTTCATTCGAATACCACACCGACCTACACATCTTTGAACGGGGTTCTTTGACTGTTGTCTGGTATCGAGATGAAGGTCCTAGAACCCATTGTGAGATTGTACGCTGGAGCAGTTGGCCCTACTTTTGTTTTAATAGATGATAACGCACGCCCCCATAGAGTTGACATCGTCGATGACTACCTGGAGAGTGAAGGAGATTGCGCGTATGGCGTGGCCAGCATATTCGCCCGACCTTAATCCCATTGGAAAATCTTTGGGATGCTCTTCGGCCGTGCTGTATCTTCATCGTTTGCCACCTCCAGCCACTCTTATTGAGCTGGAAACTGCTCTACAAGAAGAATGGCGTTTCCTTAATTCTCCGGTGGTTGACCACCTAATTGAAAGCATGATAACAAGGTGTAAACTTGGTATACAGATGAGGGGTGAATCACATAAAAAACCCTATTAATGTCCTTTTTTCCTATTGTGCCTGTTTATTTTCACTTTATACATAATTCTGTTTAAATCTTCAGTATGTGATTATCTGATAACTTACAAAAATTTAATATTGTTTTCATTTCTGTATATAATTATGGATTTTGTTTTATGCATAAATATATATGCTGCTTTCCTGCTGAATTTTGTGTCAATCAAAGCAGTATTTGTTAATTTTTTTTCATTTTACATCTTCGTGCTTAACTTTTGGAAGTTAACAGCTGTAAGGCTGGTTTATGGCTGTAAGGCAGCTGTAAGGCTGATACATGGGAATGTTAACAGCTGTAAGGCTAATTTTTCTTGATTCTATAGATCACAGCTTAAACTGCAGGTCGCTACCCAGTTGAGGTCGCGGGACCTGCAGCAGGCTATCGCCAAAAATTTAGCAATTTTGATATTTCTGATTATAATAATTTGATAATTGCCAAATATTTTTACATAATGTATCTGAAAATAGATAAAGATAAAACAACACAGACAAAGAAGAAACTAAAACGCATTTTTTTTTTTTTAAGTAATAGAAACGTTCAGTTTACTTTAAAAATTAAAGTCAATGACCTAAAACTGCAATCGTATATTACAGTGCAAGTGGAGAAAATAATAGTTTCGTGTGTTAGATTTGCAATGCTTATGCGGGATCCCACAAAATTTTTGTAAATATTAAGAGGTCGCCACACCAAAACGTTTAAGAAACCCTGCTATAGATTGAAGTCGCTAAACTTCATAGAAGTGGGAAATACATGTTAGGCTTCAGATTAACAAGTTAGATTTCAAGGGCAGAATTGTCACGAATTTTGTAAAATGTGATAAGAACAAAGTAAAGAAAATTTGCCGGAAAAATAAGATTACAGGGGAAATGTATTTAACTTCGAAGTTAATGGCAATCTCCCTAAACTGGCGAGATATCGCCGAGCTAGCGATAGTTTGGCACTCATTGATGACGCCAAATTTGGAGTAAAATCACCAAATTCGCCAAAGTTGGCGACCATTTGGCGACATTTTTGTTTGGTTTCTGTGTAACTGTAATTGATCCCTAACCGTATCCGGCCCTCATATGTAACTTTAATCATATATGCCTTCGAGTAATTTCGAGAAATGGAAGGGAGTACAGATTTCTAGGCAACCGGGGGAAATTTAAGAAACCCAGAGAGAGAATTAGCTCTCAGTCTTTCAGATCAGAATAGACTTCGGCTCTTTACCTTCCATTGTGTTTAACGTTCTTACTAGTTTGAAGTGGTAGCTACTGATTATGCTCTGCCACACTGAGAACAGCTGTACGAGCACTTTTGTGGAACGTTCCAGAACTATAAAGTGTTTCCTATGGGAAAATAAGCTTTATGAAGCCATCATCGGTTCTGTGTGCATTCATTACATCACGAACGCGTTCGCATAACAATATTAATGTGGTTTTAAAAGTGGAAAGACATTTTTTGTATGAAAAGAAGCCTAAGTTTATTCTTGTGTAATTAAGGTTTGTAGTTAATTAGCAAAGGTTTCAAATTTAATTAAATATGGTTATTTATAAACTTAAATAAATAATTCTTGCTGCTCGACATTTAATTTGGAAAAAAGTCTGTTTTAGTCTGCTTCTAGAGCATACAAATTTTAAACTTTTCTATGATGTACTGAAAGTTTATTTATTTATTTATTTATTTATTTTGATAAATCACATTACTTTATTGTATTTCACATTTTCTTACACATTAATTTTTTTACTAGTTTTTTTCATCTGAAGAAGTGTCTGATTGCTCTTGAAACCGAGAGAGTTTCATTCAAAAATCTACACCAAACAGCTTTTTTGCCTAATTTTGAATTTTACTTTGGTGTGTTTCTTGTCTAATTTAGTAAATAAAGTATTTAAACAGATTTATACATTGTTTTGTGTTGAAGATTTAGAATACAATAAATTTAATATTTTAAAGAGTCACTAAGTAAATGTAAGGCAATACTGAAATCCGACAGGCATTAGTTTAGAAATTTGTAATAATGTTTAGAAATCTGTTATAAATTACTTAATTCTGAAATTTGGCGAAACTATTTATTGGAATACCCATTTTTAATTACCTAAAGTGTAATTTGTAATTTTGGAGCAAATATTAATGTCATTATGTTCTATTGCATTAAAACAAACATGTGGAAATTTAATCACTAAAAGGAATGAAAAACTAAAGTTTAGAAAGCAGGATGAAAATCTTGTCTAACTTTTGTAATATTTTAGAAAAGGACTGGCAGCAGATAAATGAAAAACAACGAATGATTTTTATTAAATGCTTTTAATGTACAATGTTGTATAAAATTTAGAAGAAATAAAAATTCCAAGCATTTTTCAAAAAAGAAAAAGTATAAAAAGAGTTTTTCAGAAAATATTTAAAAGTATGATTTTTAGAATTATTCAGTTAAGCCAGTTATTTCAGTATCTCTCATCGTAACTAAATTACAGTATATGAAAAATTTAATTGACAGTTTGTTGCAACCACTGTGTAATTGAAGCTTCAACACCTTCACGCCACATGATGTTAGCTTTTATTATTTCAAGGCTTTGTTGCAGAGCTTCCTTACCCGAACCCACTTTTACTCCGCTGAAGAAAGCATTTACCTAAAAAGTTTTAAGACTCAGATGTTGTATAACAAATGAGATAAATTACAAGAAAAAAATTTAACATTTATATACAGTAAATTCCCAACTAAGCAAAGAGGACGACGTCCACAGTTCACCCCAAATCATTGTTAATCTGAAAGCAATCACTAAGGCAAGAGGAATTATCTATACTATAATTAACAGAAAATGCTGTTATCTATTTGTTTGTATTTTAAGCAGTTTAATTTCAATAATAAGTTCATTTGGTTATGATAATTAAGTCATCCATCAGTCAAAGGAGATCACACAAAAAAGAAAGAATAACTTTTTTATTTACATTACTCTCGCACTTCGATGAGCTAATGTGAAACTCAAAGTTAAATGTTGTAAACTAAATTTATTTGAATGATTAGGCAATTTACATTTAATGGATGACTTAAAAATGTGTATATATTTCAGATTAAGTATAATTATACTGCATACTGCTAAGGACAAAAACAGTTCCTGGAAGCCTCCCAAACGGTATAGTGGTTTTGGGAGCCTACTGCGATATCGAAGGGTCCAGATTCGAATCCCGGAGAAGGCACATGTTTGTAGATGTATAGTGCCTATGCGGCATGGGGGTACTCTAAATATGCAGCGAGCCAAAAGTCCTCACGAGAAGTTTGTGGTAGGGGAAAAGAGGTGGAAGATCCTCGGACCCATCCCCCCTGGGGTGCTGCTCTCTTTCAAAAATTGGGGCGGAACTGAGCCAAGACTTACTGTCACCTGTATGGTGCTCAAGGCTCTTGCCAACAACAGGCGTAATCTTGCTGCACGATGAATTTCGTGGGCTTGCTCTGATGTTACTATTAGATAAGTGAGATAAGTCACAGCACAAACAATTCCTGAATACTGTGATTTGCCACAGATTTTCTTCTTTTCTCTTGTACATCCCGTAGAAATTTTGCTCTAATTTGGTGATTTGTGATAGCATTCCCCCCCCCCATCTTTCTGCAGTATATAAACTTCGCGCTTTTTAGGCAAGGCCCTATTAATCAGCGCCAGTTAATTGGGAGTTCACTATTATTCAGAAAGTAAAAGCTTACTGATATAATTTATTGGCCTAATAATAAGCTCGAGAAATACAAATTTGCAAAACGTGGCTTATAGTACGGAGTTTTTATCTTTAAGTAATTTTCTTTCTGTAGTGTGATGAATTGAAGTTATGATGTTATATTCTAAAATTTTTGGCTAAACATGTGAAATTGTTAGCTTACTGACGTAATTATTTAGGCTGCCTGCTACTTCGAACATACTGATATTCCCTTAAGAAGGCTAATATGCATATAATGATAATAAATAATACATCTCTAATTATTTCTGAGGAAACAAATACGTATCATATATCAGGAAACAAATATATATCAAAAAAAAAAAAACTGACAAAAATGTATATATATAGCGAAAGCTTGTAAATATATGAATACCACTACCATAAGAAATTAAGTCTATTTTCTCATTATTTATAATAATGGGTCATGCAAGAAAGGATAAACATTAAAGAATTTATTGGTCAATAAATTCTTTAATGAAGACTAGTATTTTCAAACGCAATGGTCAAGAATATATGTATTCAAAATGCTGACATTTCTGCATTTTTTAAATAATGAGGAATGTAATAAGTTTTCTGGACAACTGTGTAATTTGCAAAATATATTTGACTTTATCTCCTGGTAAATTTCACTTTGTGTTCAAACCAAAGCATATTTTTTAGTTAGAATAAAGTACACTGCTATTCATTAAAATTGCTGCAGCATGAAGCAAAGTATTTAGCAGATTAATACTTATTTCGCAAATACATTATAATTGAAGGATGAAATGCTTGAAATTTCAGATGATTTTGGGGTACGAAACATACAGAAATCAGAATCTCGAGGCAACAAAAGCAGGCCTTAAGCAATAAAACCAACTGTTATACTGCCAAGTATGGTGATGAATAGATTTTGGATGCAGTGCATATGGTTTCGTTTATATAACAATGTTCATGCATTGCATTAGTTGCTGGTGTTATAATACTAATCTCTTTGCAGTTATTGACCAGACGTTTTCACCTGGCGAGAGGTCTCAAGAACGCTTCGCTTAAGACTTGGAACAGAACGCTTTGTATTGAGAAAACGCTTAACAGGGGCGTCACCATGCATCTATGTGCTGCGGACTGATATTTGGAACTATGCATCAGATCCATTCTCCTGACTCAAGGTACGTAATGTGGTCTAACAATGATTGGAACAAGATATTTGTCGTCTCCGCATTTGTTAGCAGGAGCCATTCGCACTTTGTTCCATGGAACTCTTCTGGATACATCGACCACAGATTCTCTTAACAGTCATTAGATTTGAAGAACCTCGAGAGTAGTACGATAATCCGCAGTTCTGATAGGCTATGATTCTCCTTGCAGAAAATACTAAGAAGTGTTGGATAATTTTTTTTCTTTTTTACATGAGGCATGCATGTCCTCCAATAAAAAAAATCTGATGTGTACACCACACGACTTCTTTGTACGGAATATTAAATTGTACGCATTTTTTTCTGCATTTCATTTCAATTTATTGAATTAAATTGAATATACTTCGCCGATAGCACATAAAACACAATAGAATAAATGCACTCTTTAAAATTCACTATATTTATTTATCATAGCGACACTCTAGCGATAGGTTCACTTAATAGCGTTACATCTTGTTCATTTTAAAACTCAGAATACACAAAAATTATATCATCTGAAGAATTATCTAATCTTTGCCACATCTTCTATTCAAGTACTATAATAAATCTAAAAGGGTATATAAAAGAAATTAACCCGTTCAGTGCCGCTCCCGAGTTAACTTGGACCGAGTTAAAACGCGGCACTGAACAGGCTAAACAAATAATAATAATAATAATTAAAAAAAAAAAAAAAAGTTTTTTCACAGACGATTCTGCACCGCTTACCCAATGCGCATGTCCGAGACAGACGGGCTAAAATATTTGCTGCTAATACGAAACAATTTCCTCGAATAGAATTAGAGATATATTTCTCAGTCAATTAATTCAATCCTCACTTTGTGACGAGGCAAAAATACGTAAGAACTAAAAATAATAGGGGGACTGGAAAGTAGTGTAGTTTCTGCGCATGTCGACAACAACATGCTAAGAAGTGGAAGCAAATCCATGTCAAACACTCTTAACCAACTTTGGTCGACTATCCAAGAACATTTAAGCAGAATGGAAAAATAAGCACAAAGCAGGTGTTTAGCCCTCCTAATCTGTCCGAAAAGAACCATCAATCACAAACGTATTACTTCAACCGCACCATACAGAACCGTTTTTTGATCGTTTGATTAGTGGAGACAAAAAAAGTCCAATATTAAACAAAAAGTCCTATATGATAATCCAAAACTCAAAAGGCAGTTTTAATAGGGGTTACAAAAGGTTTACATCCAGAAAAGGCGCTTCTAGGTGTTTGATGGAGTATTCGCGGAATTGTTCATTTTGAATTTCTGAAACCTGGAAAAACTGTTAATGTAGACCTTTATCGTGAACAATTGGGATCTAGCGAACCAATCTTTAATCGAAAAATAACTGGCGATTGTCAAAGGAAAAGGCGTCATTCTGCAACACGACAATGCAAGATCGCACTGTGCAAGACGAACACTGGGGTGGGAGGTACTGCTCACCCACCATATTCCCGATATCGCAACCCTCGGATTTCCATTTTATTCCGATCCCTACAACATTTTTCTTAGTGAAAAAATTTGAAAATTTGGATGATGTCCAAAATGCCATCTCAAAAATATTTTACTTAAAAACCAATTGATTTATCGGTATGGGATTGAAATCGGCAACTAGATGGCAAAGGTGCTAATAATGAGGATGATTATATTATTGATTAAAAATAAAAACTTGTTTACAAATTTATTCGTTTGAATTTAATGTAAGAAAGCCAAATTACTTTCCGGTCCCCAAATTATTTCCATTAAAAATTGAAAGATAAGAAAAACATAAAACACTAAATACAGTTAAAACAATTAAAGAAACAATTTTTACAATTAAAATTACAATTTCTGCGCAAAAACAAGCAATTCGGACAGCAGGCAAGAAGGCAGATTTTTCGGTGAAAATAAAAGTTTCTTTTTGGTCAACATGGGCAAAAAGACACTGAAGGTGCAGGAAGACTTAATTCACTATTCTGCTAAGTTTCAAATGCAAACAAATATGGCTGCTATGGTAATAAAAAACTAGGCTTAGCCGCAGTTCAACAACTTTTAAGTTGTTGATTATTCTAAAATTATTGCACACAGGTTAACTAAAGGCTTAAAAACTTTAACAGGAAAATAAGATCAACATAATTCACTCATTTTTAAATCAATTTACAACATACAAGAATAATAATTTAAAAAAAATTTAAAAAAAACTGAACTCACTGAGCCGATTAACAGAGTGGATATATATACTTTTGGTTCGTCCGATTACAATCAAAATGGGAGGTGCACAACTACAGGTTATAACAGTCCTATCTACAAAATTTCAACGTTCTGAGGCTACTCGCTTTTGATCATGCGAGATAATACGTACATAACGCACGTACATACAGATCCCACGAAAAAAATCTGTTTTGAATCCATTTTAAATCAGCTTTATAATTCGTTTAGGGAAAAAGTGTCCTTCATTCTCTCCTTACGTACAGATGTCACGCAAAAACATCGTTAAATTGCATTCGATAGCTGTCAAAATGGATATTTTATTTGAAATATGATACTGGAAAATTTTCGCGATTACAATACTTCCTTTACTTCGTACGAGGAAGTAAAAATGAATAAACGAGATTTTCGAATGAGAAATCAGGGTTTCTCTGCCTTTTCTATACAATTTTGAAGGTATTACTACTCTTGCCTGTGGGCGCACAAGCCGTGGAATTCTAATCATTGGTATATTCAAGCAAGCTTTCTCTTTCATACAAATTTCAATTCTGTTATACTCTTCATTTATAACGTAGC